ATTATAGAGTGTGTGTGTGTGCATAGGTTAGATAAGTGTCTTCTGAATTCATAGGTCACCAGATCACAAGAACCATAGCATCCTAATGGAGAGAACTGCGCATCTACTGGAGATCTGGATTTGAGTTGGATACAGTAACTGCATGGGAGTGAGTGTATTCAATGTGAGGAACAAGGAATTTATAGTGATATTAGGTGTGGCAAAGACAAAAGAGATTTGTTTGTCCATCAAAAATTCATTTCTTTCTATTCTTTCTATTGTGTAGAGTTGTTTCCGGGAGCTATGTGTCTACAGGGTCTACATTTCCCGGCATCCCTTGAATTTAGATAGGGCCATGGGACTACCTCTCACCAATGGGCTGTGAGTAAAAATAATGTATGTTATTTCCAGGCTGAAATGTTTAAGAAGCAGGTATGTCTTCTCTATTCTTTCTTCTCCAGTCTACTGGGTGGAAGTGAATGGCTCCAAAGCCCTAGATGGTAAAGCTACAAGGCAGAAGGATACTGAACCTCCTCATGGAAAGCTGCTCACTGAATACCAGCATTAGATTCTTGCGTGAGCAACGAAAAAATTTTATTGTGTTCAGCCATGAATTTCAAGGTTTGTCTGAATCCTCTGCTACTCTGACTCAATGATTACACAGTATATATGGTTCTAAAAACTACTTTGCAGGAGCAAAACATTTGAAAGCCACTCATGTAGTCCAGTTCTTCCATTCTTTCATTAAATATATATTTAATATATATAAGTATATATATTACATATGTCACACACATATATAAATTTAAGGGCAACTAAATAAAAATTTATTTAAATTTATACATTTAGATTTTAGATAATGGTGTCCGATTAGCATGCAAGTGCTTTAGGGCAAACTAAATCCAGGAATTTATTTACCAGTTTATCCTCTTACAATTTAAACTCAGCAGGTTGAGCTCAAAGATCTGACAGAATCTGATAAGATAGTCAACATGTTTTAGTATCATTGTGTCCTTTATAGCATCTATACAGAAATGGTGAGACTGTTTCTTGAGTACCTAGCTAAAGTCACAGCATAAGACAAATAAGACAAATCATCTTAAGGATTAGTGATAGGAATTAGTAATAAATCCACACATCTGTATGGCTAAATGCATAGGCTGTTACTTATATGCAAGGTGACTGCAGGGTCACTAGCTATTGTGGAACTAGACCCCAGAACATTGCACCATTTTATTCTTATGGAGTTAGAGTGATATCTTTACTTGTGACTCTTAAAAATAAGCTTTAGTGGGTGCTAAGTAGCAAGCTCAAATCCATGATTGTAGCAGGGAAAAGATCAAATGTATGTCATGCCTGTCATTTGCCTGTTTATTCTCAAATCCATTCCCTTCCATTACACTGCTCAGCTCTGTATCACAAGGGGCTGATCCTGCAAACTACATTTTTCTGACTCTCTTCTCAACCAGGAGACACCGACAGGATACTGAAGGGCAGGCAGATGGGAGATTTCAGGGTGTTTTCTTCTCCTATTCTCTCTTAAGGCAGCATCTTTGGCAGTGGCTGCCTCCTTCAGGGTTCCAACTCCCACTAGACGGCTCCTGCTCTGTAGTCCCAGCTTTGCTTGGCAGCCTCCCGGATGGTTCCTGGCTTCTGGTAATATCCTGGGTCTCACAGGTTTGGAAGTGGTAGTGCCTTCCTGCTGTGGCTGGGTTGCTTCATCATCCCATGTTTGGCTCTTTAGTAATTCCAGTACCTGTGTAACTAGTTCCCCATATTAGATTCCTTCAGCCTTGAATGCTATTTCTAGACTGGACCTTAATCAACATATGTCTGCACTAATATCTACATAGAACACAATATAGTGAAACGTGTATATAAATTTACCAACAAAATAATTGCTCAGTAATTATTTGTTGAATGAGTGAATAAATGTGTGGAAGTGATACTTGAAAACTGGAGTGAAAAAGATATTTTAATCGTTCCAAGTTAAACTTAGAAATTCCTATTAAAATTTAGTGTAACTATAAGCTGATGAGAAAATTTTAGTAAGAGGAATTAGGAGTGCTAATAAGTTTGAATGGAACCACAGGATTAAAATGGTAGCATATCAGAAATTCAAAAATGAAGGAAGTCTAGAGGCAAGATTGCAGTCAATATTAAAGCAAGTTTTTTTTTTTTTTTTTGAGGAAGGTTGGCCCTGCGCTAACATCTGTTGCCAATCTTCCTCTTTTTCTTCCCAAAGCCGCAGTACATAGTTGTGTATCACAGTTGTAGAGTTGTAGCTCCACTATGTGGGCCGCCACCTCAGCATAGCTTGATGAGTGGTGAGTAGGTCCACGCCCAGGATCCGAATCGGTGAATCCCGGACTGCTGAAGTGAAACGCACGAACTTCACTGCTACGCCACTGGGCCAGCCCCTAAAGCAAGTAGTTTTTTAATCTTTTTCACTGTGCTTTGCAGTAAGAAATAGATTTTATACTGAGAATGAGTACAATCACATGTACATGAGATGCCTACTGTATTTTCTATTCATTTTCTTCTATCATATCCTATCCAATGGGACACGCACAGTTTGAAAAACATCGATCTAGGCATGTTATAGGAGCCATGACAGTCTTTGCAAACTTATCCAAAGGACTAAGCATAACCCATCTTTTGTTCACCCTTTGTCTTTCTCTATAGTGGCTATCTATTGTTTTTGTTAACTCAGCATGGATTCACCCACTTTCTGGTAATGGCAGCATAATTTTCCTCTTGGAAACTAGTCCTCTTCTTATCTCAATCCATAGGGTTCAGGTCAATTTCCTGCCCACCTCTCCTGTCCCCCACCACTAATTCTACCAGCTCTGGGGGAGGCATGTCAGCTGATTCTGGTCAAGCAGATTAGCCATCTCTCTGACCACAAAGACTGTCTCAGTAGTTGGCACCTATGCTAAGCAAGGCCAATGAGCTCTGTTACCAAAAACAAGTCCTTGTTTTGCCAGACTGGAGCCTGGTGAGAATCAGGCTGTAGATCCTGGAACCCGTCATATGGAGAGAGTTACCTAGGAGGGAAGCTAACAAGAGGAAAGAGGTGGAGGACTGATGACGACATTTGTGACCCGGATCCAATCACCTTTTCCCGTGCAACAGTAAATTCACCTTCTGAAATTCTAATGTAAGAAAAAAGCTACACTTGAAATGATATTTAGTATGTGAAATGACTTAAACTTTATTAAAAATTTACATTTTCACATCTCTTCAGTATCCTAAATTTATGAACAGATAGAGCAAAAACAGACAGAAATCATCACATAATCACTTGTATCTTAAATGGTACTAGTATCTAAAATTATTTTTATACAGGAAAATTAAGTTTGTTGGACATTTCAATGTCATTATCAAGTCTCAATGTTTTTTCAGTGTCCACATATTTTTAGTTTTGCGGCTCTGGGAGCCCTATTTCATTTATTATGAAAAATACACTTGAAAAAAATACAAATTATTTACATTAGGATATTCACTGAAAAGTACAATGAAGAAAACTAAGGCTACCCCCCTCCCAGATTTAATATTTATTTTTTTCTTAACAAGTATATAGAGATATCATATAACATAGATTTATTTAAAGCTATTTATAGAGGATAAGTTTTAATGCAAAATAACTTTTTAAAATATAGCATCTTTTTCAGTTTTACTCAGTATTTTTAAATGTCTGCATAGTTTATTGATTTGAAAAAAATTAATTCAAAGCACAATGTCTATTGAAGGCTGCCAGTACAAAGAATTATCCATAAATGAAAAGTTTACACTTTCATTCCATACTGAAAATGTTACAGTAGAAAAATAAGTAAGATAAGTGATACTCCACATATCTCTATCATTCACTGGTCACTGCCACAATGTACAAACAACTGTGTGCCTAATTATACAATTTATCTCTATTAGATGTTCACTGATGTTCATTTCTTGGTGTTTTTCAAATACATTATGTGAACATCTAGACTACAGTTATTCATATTCAAATTGCTCTTTAAAAGTGAAGACAACAGTTCTTAATGGCAGAATTAAAACAGAGCAAGATCTGACAACACTCCAGTACCTCTAGGAAATCCTTACCAATCTCACATGAATGGATTTTGCTTCAAGCTGGGAGCTCTGGAGTTGGCAGGCAAAGTCATCACTTCTACAATATTTCTATGAGGAAATGATTGATTTGGGAATCTCGTGCTTTCAACTATTATTAGCACTAATTATTGCTTGCAAATAGTTTTACACAAAGCAGGTGCGTTGAGTGATCCTATCTTAAAATACCTGACAGGGAAAACAGCAAACATCACAGCTAGTTTTACTTCTTGTTATTTTGGCTTTGAGCCTACAAAAACATTTCCAGTTGAGGCTGTGACAAAATTGGTTTCTTCTCCTCAACTATACATAGAACACTAAGTAACTTCTGGAGATTGGAAAACGAGTTTTATTGACAGGTAGTCACTTTTGAAATCGGTACAAAAAAGTAATCTGAAAAAAATTACATTCGTATTTTTTTTTCTTAGTCAGTATATCTTAAACATAACATTGTAGGAGCATTAACTACCCTTTTTGCTATAACTGTTAAGAGTTTCATTCCTGAGATTTTTGGAGTCAATTACAGTTCTTAAAGTAAAGCAAAGAGGAAAGAAATGTTTTTCCCAGATGGGAGGCTGAACTATGGATCAACACCTCAGCCAGTTACTTTCTGTCATTTTTTCATACATCAGATTTTTTATTTGGGATATATTTACATTGCAATTTATTCATTAACTACTGGCCCCCAAATATACCACATCTTTAAAGAGCTGAAACATTCAGCTGAAAGATGGTATATAAGGAAAAGTTATTGTTACTAAACATTTGCCATTGTAGGTAGTCTCCCTCTTTAAAGTAGGAACATAGAAACAAAATGAGTTTTTTACATCTGGTTTGATTTAAATAATTCAAGTATCTCCTTTAAAAAATGATTCTGAAAAATATTAATATTTATGAACCACAAATTTAAATACATTTTCTTAAAGGCAGAATATTCCTTGAATATCCTTTGTTTTAATCATTACTTAGACCAGAGCAAAACCTGGCTCTGGTCCACATCATATTTTTGATAGTTCCTAATTTTTTTTCTCTCTATATAGTTAACTAATCATTTAGAAAAAAATTAACATCAAATGCATGAAGGAAAGCTTCAAACGATAACATTTCATTTAAAAAGCTATATTCAAATGAAGATATGGTCTGCATATGTTATTTGTGCTTATTTTCAGTTATGGCTATATAACTGAAAAGTTATGGGTATATAAGATGTTCACTGAGTTTTTGTGTGAAACGGAGTTGTATCATAGTCTTGAAAATGAATTCCCTTAGAAGTTGTGATCTTCATAATAGCGCCATTTAAAGCATCATCTTCAATGAGTGTTATTAATCCATTGGCAATCATTGATGGGCTGAAAATAAAGAAACATTGGTGTTTTAAAACTAAAGATGAGGCATAATTATCACTTCATTTTGAATTCTTTTTGAAGAATCTACTACCTTTAACATGTAATAGGGAAATGTATATCATGAAGCTATTGCTACCTCCATTTTTTATTCAGTTAGATATTAACTACATTATATGATAAATTTAGTGGTAGATTTCCATGCCTAACCTTCTGTCATTTTGACAGGAAGGATTTGTGAATTTATATTTGTTACATATATTGAGAAAATAATTATTTTCTCATCTTTGCCCTATCAGTAGAAGTATGTAGAGTAGAAGTATGAATAATTACAGCTAACATTTACTGAACGTCTATTATATGTTGCTGTTTTAAGTACCATACATGTACCAACTTATTTGTGGACTTTTAAAAGTCCCCTAAGTTTGTTCTAGTATTATCTCTATTTACATGTGAGAAAATTGAGGTGCCTAGAGGTTGACAGATAAGTTCATGGTGAGTGGTGGATCCAGGACTTGATTCCAGATGGTCTGGTTCCTTCAGCACAATAGCTATGACTCTGTACAGTGAAACTCTAACAGCTCTAACTCAGACATTGTTCACCAAACACCTGTGTGGATCAACTATTCCTTATGAAAATGGTTGAAGTCAGGGGGCCATATGAAATTTCACAAAGGGAATATGTGAATATTGCTTGGAACTTAGGCAGATAATGTATCATTGCTTCTAAAGGTAACTAAGCATCACCTTATAAACATCTGATTATGGCTAAAGGTATTGATGCATTATTTATATCTCAAAGCACAATTCATAATGTACAAACATATTCTATTCAGAAACCCAGAAAAAATATTTTCTTTCAGAGAGTTCACCAAACCAAAACTTTGAAGCTTGCATTACTTTCTCACATTTAAAAGCTTATTTTTTCCCTTTTTATTGCTTATGTCTAGATAATACTTTGCTCTACCATATAAAGGAAGAAAGGTATAGTTTTACTTACTCCAAAATTCCATAGAATTTCATCATATCCTTGATATGATCCTTATATTCTATATATTGTCCCATGTTTTCCTCTTTTTCAATGGATTCAAGGATGGGCGTATTAACAAAGCCTGGGCAAATGGCATTCAGTCTCACACCACTGTTCATAAGATTAGCTGCCATCTGCCAATTATAAGTAGAAGGTTGCAGGTTTGAGTAGTTTTGTAAACGTATAGCATAGGACAAACTGATAAAGCTATTTAAAAGACTCTGATGTGAAAAATACTAGTCAGATATCTTTCTAGTTATATAACAATGACAATGTAAGGTTAACTGATAGCAGAAAGTAAAAGAATATATATCTAAAGTGCTGAATTAATCCCTGAAAGCCTCACTTAATTTTTTTAAATCAATACTATTGGGAAACTCCTGAAAATACTTAATTACCTAAGCTGCTCTTATCTACTGAATGCTGCAGGACCTGAAAGTAAGAAGCTGAGGCTTAGAATTAATATCACAAAGTGTTTTTTCAAAGATTGGGGTTGTATAACAGGGAATATTTGCTTAAAAATCACTGTTAGTGGAAAGTTTTAGGGCTTTGATTGATTCTACATATACTCTTAATAATCTGCACTATCCAGGAGACAATGTCAGTATTTTCAGATTAACATTCTTTGGCTTAATTTTCAACCTATTGATTTTATTTGAACTATTTGCAAAACAAAATGTAGTCAATCCTCATGATTTGTGGATTCCATTTGCTTACTTGCTAAAACTTATTTGTAACCCCCAAACTCAATACTCAGGGAGCTTTGTGGGGTCATCTGTGGACATGCAAAGAGCATTGAGAAATTTAAGTTGCCTAACTCGGATGTTGCAGCTGAGGTCAAACAAACAACGTTCTGCTTTCTTGTTTCAGCTCTTATAGTATAAACAAGTGTCCTTTCTGCAGTATATTTAGTCCATGTTTTTCTCATTTTCCTTGGTGATTTTGCAATTTAAAATGCCCCCCAAGCATAGTGCTGCAGTGCTGTCCACTGTTACTAAGTGTATGAAGGCTGGGCTGTGCTTTATAGAGAAAACACTTAGAGAAGCTTCCTACAGGCATGAGGTATAAGCACTGTTGGCCTTGAGTTCAATGTTAATACATTTTAAATAAGGTATCTTTAAATAGAAATTCACATAAAACTAGATTACGTATTGATTGGTTGATCAAAATGTTGTGACCAGAGGTTCACAGGAGCTTAACCCTGTATTTCCCCTAGAAGCAGTGGTTCAGTATTTGCTATTCAGTGTTTGCAAGTGATTTTATAGAAATATTGCAAATAATGAGAACTGACTGTACAAATTTCCAGTCTTGTAAATATAAAATTTCTGGTCTTTAAGATTCAATCTGCCTTTTTTTTTTTTTTTGTGAGGAAGACCAGCCCTGAGCTAACATCTGATGCCAATCTTCCTCTTTTTTGCTGAGGAAGACTGGCCCTGGGCTAACATCCATGCCCACCTTCCTCTACTTTATATGGGACGCTGCCACAGCATGGCTTAACAAGCAGTGTGTTGGTGCGCACCCGGGATCCAAACCGCCAAACCCCGGGCTGCTGCAGCGGCGGAGTGTGCGCACTTAACCCCTTGCACCACCGGGCCGGCCCCTTAATCTGCTTTTTAATAGCTTTATGTCTTTGCAAATTAAATAAAAATTTCCAATCAATTTAAATTAAGATTGTTGAGAGCTGCTTCTTTTCCTTTTGAAGAAGTGTGTGAACATTTACCATTTACCCATCGGTTTTCTCCATCCCTATGTTTCTTCTCTTGTTGATATTTTCCTCTTCCTCTGTCTGGCCCCTCTCTTTGTCTCCCAACTGTTCTTCCCTCTTCTACCCTTGTCCTCTCTAATACATTCTCCAAATAGCAGCCAGAATAATCTTCTTAAAATGGAAATCTGATCTTGTCACTCTTGTATACAAAAGACCTATTGATGGCTGCACTTAGAATAAAATTTAAGCTCATTACTGGGGCCCCTAACCCCCTTTCTGTCTGGCTCCTGCTTATATCTCCAGTCATCCCTCATCCTACTTTCCCCTTGCTCATCCAGCTCCATTGAAGCTGCCCTGTTTTCAGTTATCATGAAAACGCAAGCATTCTCGCATCACGCTATCAACGCGTGTGCTTAATTAGGTCTAAAATATTTTTCCAAGCTCTGTGCCCCTTTCACCCTAGGCCTCCGTGGAGACATCGTCCTTGACCACTCTACCAAGTGAATGCCCGCCGCCCTGCCCCTCCTGCCCACCTTCATGCTCTCACTCATTTTTATCACATTCCAGCAACAGGTAATGTCTGGAGCACACTGCATACTCTACTTAGGAAGCCTGAAGTTAATAATGTTTAAATTGGGGGTCAATTTTATTCTTATTATTTTTTTGTGTATGTGAGGAAGATCAACCCTGAGCTAACATCCGATGCCAATCCTCCTCTTTTTTGCTGAAGAAGATTGGCCGTGGGCTAACATCCGTGCCATCTTCCTCTACTTTATATGGAATGCCGCCACAGCATGGCTTGACAAGTGATGCATCTGCGAGCGCTGGGATCCGAACCTGCGAACCCTTGGCCACTGAAGTGGAGCGCGCGCACTTAACCACTGCACCACAGGGCCAGCCCCTGGAGTCAATTTTAAAAATAAAGAACATCTTCCCATTATTTATCCTTAGGATATTTTTCAATAACACATCATGTTTAGAATCTACTTCATTTAAAAAATTCTTGATTTGGTCCTTCATGTGATCTGAAAACTATTTTTTATAATACAGATTGAAGTATAATATTACTTTTGTGTCTTTTAACCAGATGTATTGAACTCTGCATTTATTCCCCTGTACTTTATAGAATGCATGTCTCATATTGTACAGAAGGAGAAAAAGAGATATCGCGCTTGTTATGTCCTCACCGCTGCTGAGCGTGTGAATCCAATTATGCCATGCTTCGAGGCACAATAAACAGGCTGTTGTGCAACAGGCATGAGCCCTGAAACAAATAAAAAATTTAAACAATTTTATTAAAAAATAAGCAGACAAAACCCAGTAATTGCAACATAAATGAATAATTTGTGCCTGTTCCCTTTTAAGATCAATCTAGAAAATACAATAAAACAATCACCAGACAACTTTGTAAAACTCACTAGTCGTAGCATAGTTTATTCCTTCCATGACCTCTACTGTACTGTCCAGAATTTATGGTAGGGAAGTTATAGCCTAGGGATGCAGCCAAGAGTGATGTTAAGTTTTTCTGTCTTCCTGACTTTCTGTCAAGAGAAGTCAATGTAATCTAAAACACAAAAATGATCATCTTTATTTATTTATTTATTTATTTGTGTGGAGGACTAGCCCTGAGCTAACATCCGATGCCAATCCTCCCCTTTTTTCTTGAGGAAGAGTGGCCCTGAGCTAACATCCATGCCCATCTTCCTCTACTTTATATGGGACGCCACCACAGCACGGCTTACCAAGTGGTGTGTTGGTGCGTGCCCAGGATCCGAACCTGCGAACCCCAGGCTGCCGAAGTGGAGCGCACGCACTTAACTGCTTGCGCCACTGGGCTGGCCTCAAAAACGATCATCTTTAAATCCAGTAAGTTACCACCTAATTTTCAGTTTTTAAGTCCAGATTTTAAAAAGTATATATTTTAGGAGCTGGCCTGGTGGCGTAGTGGTTAAGTTCATGTGCTCCACTTCGGTCGCCTGGGGTTCGCAGGTTAGGATCCCGGGCATGGACCTACGCACTGCTTATCAAGCCATACTGTGGCAGGCATCCCACGTATAAAGTAGAGGAAGATGGGCACGGATGTTAGCCCAGGGCCAATCTTCCTCAGCAAAAAGAGGAAGATTGGCAACAGATGTTAGCTCAGGGCTAATCTTCCTCAGCAAAAAAAAAATAAATAAATAAATAAAATATATATATATATATATTCTACATTTTTTAAGGCTTCCAAATGGCTGAGTTTAAATTGCTTAAATGAGATTTGGAGATTATTATTTGTCTTTGCTATAAATTAGTATGCATTTCCCTGTCACCAATGGCACTGAATGATGCCTCTAAGTGTTTAAGAATATTAAAATTTAATTTCTTTTGATTTTGGTCTGTAGTAGATACCAAGATCTTCTCGCCCTATGAACTGAGAAAAGAAAATAAAAAATAAAAACGTGGTCCTATTTTATTTCCATTCATAATTATGTACTTAACAATAAAATTCAACCAATTTTAGAGTTGGTTTAATTTTCCATATATACACAATAGTAACTGTTCAAAAATATGATTAAATTCATAGGTCTGGAGAAAAAGTAGTACTATAGCAGGTAAAGCATCTTCCCCTACCTACTGGCTCAACCCTCCAAAAAGGAACAAAACAAGAAAAGCCTATTTTACTGTAGTGACTATTACTATCAAGCTTATTTCTCATAATAGTCAATTCTCTATCTAATCAACAGTGAAACCTTTAACTAGAGCCATTTGTATATTTCGGTTTTTAACCAATTTCTTGAATTAACTCATTTTAACATTTTTAAAATTTTTGATTTCTCTGAGCCAGGAAACAGTGATCCCTGATTACTATAATTTTATTAATATCAAATGTCATGCTAACAATAGTAAATTAGTCTGCTGAGACACGCTCATCTCCATCCAGCTAACTAGTCCTAGAACACCCACCAGTCAGTTGAGCATGTGGTGCCAAAGTTCAGCAATAAATGCAGACCTCAACCACTCCCTGGGTGCCTGCCAGGTCTCACTTTATAAAGAATGTTTGCTCAAGAGCAGTTTAAATCCCTGAGGATGGTAGATCACACGTAGTGGGTCCACCCAACGATCTCCAAGTACTGTAACATGTGGCTCTTTCCTTGTTTTGTTTTTTTTTAGATTAAGTAAAATATATAAGTTAATTAAGTTCGTTGGTGTCAGTCAACAAGAATTTATGATGCCTCCACAGGGTAACCAGGTGTATTAGGAGTTGGAGATAAAGGGGATAAATAGGTGCAGCCAGGCATTGCTGCTTCTTGCTCTTCGAAGCTAGTCATCATTTTACTCCTTAAATGTTTATGAGACAAAGGCAGTGCTTGTCGGATGGTGTTCATGGACTGCAGGAAATGCAGAGTGAACCTTAATTAGAGATAAGCTAGTTGACACAGCCAGAAAAAGCGCAAGGACGCTGTTCACAAATGTTGTCAAAGATGAATTTGGAATGAATTTTTGTTGCATATGTGGAGGTACTGAACTTCTGAACCCAAGCTAGTTCAAAGTGTCACAGAAGTGAAATAAATCAAATACTGTTATGTTAGTTCTGTTTAAAAAGCAAGCACAAAGCATACACTTTCCTTTCAAGGTAGAACTATAAATGCAACCAGAATGTGAAAGAATTTGTCTGCATTTTTAAAGTGGCGCTTGCTTTTATGAATCTTGTTGTAACATTCTAATGACATTTTCCCTGTTATCCTGCAAAATGTTTAGCTTGCATTGCTTTCACTTTCTAATATTAGATCAAAGCTGCATAAATCAATTTCAGACATTCAGAAATCAAGCGTCCTTTTTTCTTTTTTTTTACAGTTTTCTTGAGGTATAATTGACATACAATAAACTGCATATATTTCAAGTGTACGGTTTGGTAAGTTTTTTTTGACATATGTATACACCCATGAAACCACGGCCACCATCAAGATAATGAATGTATCCATCACCCTAAAAGTTTCCTCATGCCCCTTATCATCCCTTTCTTCTGCTTTTCCCCTCCCCCAGGCAACCACTGATCTGCTTTGTGTCACTAGAGATTCGTTTGCCTTCTCTAGAAGTTTATATAAATGTAATCACACAGTGTAAACTCTTTTTTGGTCTGACTTCTTTCACTCAGGATAATTACCATGAGATTCATCTATGTTGCAGTGTGTATCAATAGCTGATTTCTTTTTCTTTTTTTTTTCTGAATAGTATTCCACTGTAAGGATATACCCATCAATTGCATATACATTCACCTGTTGATAGATATTTGGGTTGTTTCCAGTACTGAGGTATTACAAATAAAGAGAATTCTATTTTTCAATTATTTTATTTAGGCAAGTTGTAGTTAATTTAGTTATTAAGTAGAGAGTTTTTCTATATCCCCCAAGCACATGTAGATTTTAACTGTTGCTTCTGATGTTTTGAACAGATAGGGTGGGTTAGTGATCTGCAGTACTTTTTCCTCAACTTGCCAATTGACTTTTAATGTAGAAATGTACTATTTTTACCTCAGTTTGCTGCTTTGAAAAGGGAAGCTAAATGGTGGGAGAAAAGCTTTTTTTTTTAAAGTTTTTATTTTTCTTTTTGACAATGATTTTAATTGGGGTGGAAATATTTAAGAAAGCCAACATTTTCTATTGGATCTCAAGACTCATTTTTCCTTTATAAGTATAATATATTGCTATTGTGGTTTAGCTTCAGTATCGGTTAACCATAATTCTGTTATTTACCTTAGACCCACAACAACAACATATGTTGTTTCTGTGTGCTTCAAAGAAAAATGGGTTCTGAGGCTGGTAATCAGGGTTAGCACATGGAATTGTGCAGGGTGTGTATGGTATGACTCTGGGGACACCATTCACACGGTAGTTTGTGTAAACTGTGCCCCTAAAAGTTCCTGCAATTTACAACCTGCACAACTATACATGGCAGCCCTCTGGTAGAGGAGGATGACTGAGCAAAAGAGACTGAGAAGGACGAACCAGTGGAGGTAGGAAGAAAACAAGGTAAGCATTGTGTCATAGAAATTAAACATGGAAGTATTTTAAGAAGCCTAGAGTAGAGTGGTTACTGTTATCAAGTACAGAATCAAATGAGAATCTCTCTCTTTGAGATATGAACATGTCTTGATATCACTTGTCTAAAAATAGCACCTCTTTTGGTCTCATATCTTTCTCCAGCTACCACTCCATTTCTCTTGACAACAGGAAGTACTGAAAAAGAGTTGTTATATTCATCGTCTCTATTCTCTTCACCTCCCACGTGCTCCTCAACTCACTCTAATTAGGCTTTCATCTGACCACTCAAGTCAAACAGATCTTATGGAGGTTGCCAATGACAAACAACTTGCTAAGGCTAAATCTCTTGTCTTCGTTTTGCTTGATACCTTCCTCAGCAGCAACCAAGACAGTTAATTATGCTGTTCTTGAAACACTTCCCTCTTTATGCTGGTGACCTTCTATCTCACACTCACTAGCAGCAACCTCCCCACATCCTTTGCTGGCTCCTCCTCAGTGACCAGACCCAGAAACATGCTGGAGAACTCCAGAGCTGTGCCTGGCCCTCTTTGCTTTTCTATGCACACACTCTTTCCCTAGGTGACCTTATCCTCTGCTGTGGATGAAATTCATTCTCTCCATGTCTCTCTCTCATACACATACACACACACACACACGATTCTCAAATTTAAATTCCAGATCTCTAGCCAGGATCTCTTACTCTGTCTCAAGCTCCAGAGAGGGAACTTTGGGTTATTTGCTGACATATTTCCTATTAGTTTTCTTTCCTTAAAACATGGTGTGTGCTAATTCAAAAGGTTTTATAGGAGTGAATTCATTTTAGAAATATGTGTTTGGTACCAATTAAGTGCCAAATAAAATGAAAACAAGTTTTAAATACAGTCAATTAAAATGTATAAAACCAATGGGAGGGGGGCGGGCCTGGTGGTGCAAGCGGTTAAGTGCTCGCGATCCGCTGCCGTGGCCCAGGGTTCTCCGGTTCGGATCCTGGGCATGCACCGACACACTGCTTGTCGAGCCATGCTGTGGCAGTGTCCCATATAAAGTAGAGGAAGATGGGCATGGATGTTAGCCCAGGGCCAATCTTCCTCAGCAAAAAGAGGAGGACTGGCATCAGATGTTAGCTCAGGGCTGATCTTCCTCACAAAAAAAAAAAAAAAACTAATGGTAGGAACACTATTTTATCATAATGTTACTTCTTGTAATATTTAACCATTAAAAAATGTCCTTTTAGTGGAATTCA